GAGAGAGAGAGAGAGAGAGAGAGAGAGAGAGAGATCATTATACATGTTCTTGAGCTCCTTTTCAATTATCTATGCCCTAACTTCCTGCTGTTTTGCAGTCATATAAGAATTTTTCTATTTATCATCAAGTATTATGTTGTTTGCCATTTATATAGTTATGCTTATTTTAGTTTATTTTATTATTCTACTTTGTACTCTTATTTTTTATTTATTATCATTATTTTGCTGCACTAAAATGGAACTCCATGGACAAAAATATGTGTGTTCTTCTGCTTGTTTCTAGCTTTTGTTCTGTGCACATCTGTTGAGCAAGGCACGCTGGTCAAAAATCAGGGCTGGGTAGTCAGTATGTGCTCAGCTCACTGCTAGGAGTCCTGACATGCCAGTCTCTGGATGGTAAAGCTGGCAGTGTCCTGGGTGTGTGGCGCCTGGTGCTGGGCCAACTCTTTCTGTTGTTTCAGATGCTTTTCTCTTTCTCTTTCTCCCCTGGCAGTTCCAGCCCTCCTAGGGAGTGCTGGCTGGAGGGGTAGAGGCCTGAGGTCTGGAGAAACTTAGCTTTGGCCACAGGGTGGCGCTGTGCTGCGTGGAAGCATGTGAGGCAGGGCTGAGGGGAGTAGAGGGAGGGGAGAGTGGAGAGGAGGGCAAGTCCATCTGACTGCATTCTCTCTGCTGGGAGCTTTTCTTTGCACAAGTCATTGAGTCAATTCCAAAGTGACTCCCCTTGTCTTGTAGCACCCTTGCTATGGCATTCTCTTTCTGAATCTTGTGTTCTGGATATGTCTGTAATAAGCACTGCCAAACCCCACAGTCTCAAAGACAGGGACAGAGACAGAGGTTACTCCTCTCAGCACATCCTCAGGGCCTGGCTCCTGGCTGGAGTCACAGTCATGCACCTTAAATGCTCCTCAAGTGGTCCAGAAGGGCACCATGGTCATCTAATCATCCTCCCTCCTCAAAGCCAGGCCATCAAAGTTGATTGTGGAGGGAGAAATCTTTCCAAAGTGCTGTCCCTGTGCTGAGAGCAGAGTCTGTATGGCCCCTGGCATTTTGCCAACAGTATTGATTGACAGGCGAGGCAATACTATCTGCCTCTGCTGCTACTTTTGAGTTCTCGCATTATTTTGGAGTTCTCCGGGGGACTTCTGGGGATTCCCTGAGAGTTCCCATTGGTTAGGGAAGTGTAGGAGGAGGGATTTCCGGGAGAGATATTTCCAGCTGGGGGTTCCTGGATGAGCCTTGTGGCATTCGGGAGAATTCCCCAGGAGCTTGTGTGAGGTTTTTTCTTGCAGTTCAAAAATAAA